GTCTGATAGATTTGTAAATGATGGATCAGAGAAGAAAGCTGGACACTCCGGGCTACCCTCCTGGGTTTCATAGTTAAAAGAACTTGAGGCTGTTATTACTAATGCCACTGACTATCAGTATTCTGTGGAGCCACATGGCTTGGGAGAAATGTGATTTGCATGAATTGAACATACTGGTATCCCTAATGTCAGTTTTAATCTAATGTACATTGAGATCAGTTCTGTTCCTTCATTTATTTCTTATTTGTTGCATCATTTAACAAATTCACTGAGTACTTATTGGGTGGCAGGAGCTGGGAAATAGTTTCAGAAACTTTGAGGAATACAAAGATGAATAGGGACCGACCTTGGCTGCAAGAATTCACAATATGCTTGATAAAAGTGATACAGAGCAAAAAACAGTAATAGAATATTAAAGACACAATGACATAAATTTACACAGGGCTTTACAGATATTTAGAGCAGAATATCCAAGGGGGCACATAGGGGCAGGAGTTGGGGAGAGGTTAAGGAAAGTCCCAAGAGAAGTGACTCTTTGAGTCGAAAGGTTCTGTAGAGTTAAAGCCACTGAGGCAGCGGAAGGCAGTTTAGACAATGACATAGAGGTCAGGGACAGAATAATGAGTTCAAGCAGTAAGAAGCTGTTCATATCAATTGACCAGAGGATTCAGATGTAACCAGCTGATGAGGAAATATGTAGGGACCACAGCAATGAGCTGGGATCATATGAAGATTCTATGAGAGTGCCTGGTATATAAGGGATGCTAAGCAAATATTCATGGAAAGGAGAGGGACAGATAATGGGACATAGATGAAACATGTTGGGAAAGGGACTGCATGACAAGCTATCTATGTGTAGGTAAGACTGAATGAGAGTCAGAGTGACAAAATAATTCTGGAAAGAGGTAACATAGTAGCATGAAGTCAAGAGGAGATCAGGTGATGGCTTAGAATAGAAGATCTAAAAAATGAATTGAAAAGAAGTTGAATCTAGCAGAATTTGTGAGACAAAGGGAAGAGACTAAAATGACACTCAAGTTTAACTTTAAAAATTTAGAGCCACTAGGGATTTATTTAGCTCAATATAACAAGCCACCTTCCTGGCAAATGCAAGGTCATGAGTTCGATGTCTGGTTAAAAAAAAAATTAGAACCTTTTTTGAGTTGAAACTATGACAGTGTAACTCCAGAAATGAAAATAGGGTCTAATTTTAATTTGGCCTTATTATCCACTCAGTTATAGATGAGAAAGATTGTTTCATGAAAAAAAGAATTCATTTTGCCTTGACATTGGAGGTAAGCAGCATATTCAAGATCCAGAAAGTCTCTGATAATAGTAGTCTACTGTTGGAGATGATTTATTGCATTCTCCATAAAAGTTACACCCAAATGGAAGCACAGTGGTCAGTAACATTAATATTTTAGTGCAATTTTGTTTTATGCCATTAAAGCATCAACTGATCAATGGCCAAGTTTCACGTGTACGTGCCCACTAAATGAGCCCTACGTTTAGTGAGCAGACACTCCATTAAAACTGGGAATCAATGAGTCTTTAATAAGTATTCTTACCTTCATCTGATAAAACGGCTTAGCTGTTATTAGCTGTTGGTAATCTGGATATGTGTTTTACAGAATGTTTTTCCCTAGATTTTGAGGCAGTGTATTTCATAAACTTCAGTGACATGAAAGAGCATAAAGGAGAAAAATGGGTCATTTATTCTGAGGAGGTAGGGCAGTCCTCATTAGACGATACCTATTTAAGCCGTTCTTGAAGGATGAGAGAGCTCTTACTTAGCTGGGGAGTAGAACACAGAAATATATTAGCAGGCATGTGTTGTTGCAGGGGAATTGCAATGTACACAGTTGTGCCAGGCTGTAGGATACAGGGAAGGATGTTGAAACTGAAGAAAACCTAAAATCAGTAGAAGAAGAAAACCTTGGGTGAGTTTATCCTATAGGCATGAGAAACCGTCCAAAGTCTTCATGTGGAGAAATGATGTATCAAACGGGAGTTTCAGGATAATTTCCCTGAAAGCAGTTTAGAATAGGAAAGTAGGCAGAAGGCAGCAGGGAAGCCAGTTAGAAGCCATTGCATAGTCCAGGTGATGGCTGGCGATAGTTGTAGGGTACCAAGGGAGGCTATAAGAGCCTGTTTATTGGGGTTAAATGAAATAACTAGTCTCCTGCTGCGCATTCACTGCCTGGCACTATCACTCATGTATTTTGACCCTCATAATGAAGCCCTGGGTTAGTCAAGACTAACCAGGGTTCAGGGAGTCAGGGGCTTCACACTGTGCACCTTGTAATCCTCCAATAACTATTTCCAATTGGCCCTATCTGTTGGCTGGGCCACTGACTAGGAGTTATTGGGCTGGAATGAAACATAGAAATTTATCACCTATCAGCTAATTTATCACCTCTTGTCATATAAGGAAATGGACCCAGAGAGTCTGAGAATAAAAATGAATGTACGTACTTACTAAAACACTCTTTCAAATAGTATGCTCAATTGTTACATGGAATATGGAGCCTGATGCTCTGTAGAAACCAGAGTACGAAGGTGCTTTGCACTTCAGAGGCAGCCCTGACCTCAGATCATGCAGCAAGAGAAAGATTAAGGCAGTTTAAAAGTGGCACACTCTTGAAGGAGCCCAGTTGTAAAATTCTTCTTCATGCAGCTTGAGTTCTTCAGGTGTGATCCAGGGTTCTTTATGTAGCAGACTTCTTTCATGGGACCCCAAGAAGCCCGAGAATCAGCTTTCCTTGTATAGAATATTCGGCTTGAATCAAGAGATCTGGTGAAAATCCCAACATTACCCAAATCCAAGACCTTTGCTGGTTTGTACTTTCCATGCTGCCTTGGCAGGTGCCCAGCAGCTAATGGACACTCACTAACATCGCTGTCTACATGTCCTAAGGGCAGGTCCTTTTGTCCTGTGTGTGAACACGAGGTAGAGTTGCCTAACATGGGAAGACTCTAGAGAGAGCCAGCCAGCCAGGAGAGGCTGGGGCTTCTGTTTCCTGGTGATGACCGTGCTGGGTCTGGTAGATCTGCTGACCACCTTCCCCCTCCTCCCTGTGCAGCTTTAGTGAGGTTTCCTGGAGCTGTTTTCTATCAAAGGATGGCATCTGTGCCCTAGCATGATTTCAAACAAGTAAGATCATGTTTTATAGACGTGAGATGGTTTCTTTTAAGTAAAAGAAAAACCACATGGCATGTTTGCTGTAGGGAGTTTTGTCATCTCCTTAGCAGATAATCCTACCTTCTTCCTATCTGACAATATCCTTTTCTTCCACCATCAGAAATACCCCCATAATTACTTTCTACATTTAAAAACAAAGAAGTATTTTATGCAGTATAGTACAAGATGATTTATGTTACACAGAGTGTGATGCACACACACACTAAGTAAAAAACAGAATGGTCAGGGAATTAGGAGTGCTGGGGTGGAGTGGAATCAGGTTGTTATTTTAAACAGGGTATTCAGGTTCGGCCTTATCTAGAAAATGAGACATGATGGGAGCAGAAAGATAGCGAGGGAGGTTGCCCGGGAATGTGGCAGAAGATGGAAACAGCTAGTATATAGCCTTGAGGCAGGAGCAGGAGACAGTGAGGAGGCCAGGATGGCTGGAGCAGTGAGACCCAGGGCAGAGAGAGACTCGAGTTCAGAGAACTAGTGGGATCATAATGTGAAGCCACTTCTGCTCCAACTACCTGTGATGAAGGACCTGTATCCTTTGTTGAAGATCACTATTTTTTACAAAATCTACTAAAAATGAGTTACTAGAAAATGAAATGTTTTGAAAATACAAAGTACAAGCCCAGTGTTTTCTTATTACATCATATAAGTTACTCTTTAAAAAATTGCAATAAAAGTCTCTAAGTGTCAGTTTCACTTTTCTTTACTCATTTCCTGGTGAACTCGTAGCTCACATTGTAGACTTGCACCAAGCCAGGTGCACACCGACTTGCACTGAGGGCCACTGCCAGGAGCTAGCCCTTACCCAAGCACAGGGGACTCTGCTGACTGATTTCAGCAGAGTTCTGTTGTGTTCTGTTGATGAACCCTCCGCTAGAGGATGAAGCACAGAGGACCTAGGGAGAGAAGTAGAGGCACAGCCATGACACTTGAACGTTACAGGCAAGAGATGGTGGTGACTCAGATCAGGATGGTAACATTGAAAAGGTAAAAAGTAGTTGGTTGTGGCTATATTTCTAAGGTAGATCTCACAGAAATCAAGAATTCTTTTACATCTTTTAAAAGTTGATTGTGAGTGCACTGGAGAATCATTCAAGTGATTTTAAGCATTAAGATGTTACATAAAGACCTATGACTAAAGTAGACCTCTTGAGCAGCTTTTTAAGTGTATCCTCTCACCTGGACCTTTCACCTACAAGGCAGAGAGCAATTATTGCATTTGAGAGGACCCAAGAAAATCAGCTAATGAACCCCCTCCCCTGCAATGCTTATTCTTTAACATTAAACTCTCCTCCTTTGGAAATTATTTCACATTTTATATCTAGTTACAAGTAAGAGAACTATTCCCTAGTTTCCCTAGTTTGGATGACCCTAAATTCCCAGAGACAGCTATAAAATTGATTAGGATTTAAGAGCAATCTGACTGCATCATCTGCTGTCCATCTGATTGCCAGGATGGATTTGGCTTCTCTGATTCCCAGTGGTTACAGCATGTATGGCCAAACCTTAGTGATACTAAACATATAATAGGTCAGTTTAATGAAAAGTTTTAGAAGGTAGAATATAAAAGCATATGGTGGTTGTAAGCCAAGTTCTTTAAAATATGTTATACATGTGCTTACACTTAACAAAGACTTGAAGGAAACATTGAAATTTGACGTTAGGATAGGAGACTCTCTTAAACTTGTTGTTTTGTAATCAAAGCAAAGTCTACTCTAATCATCAGAAGTAATAAGAACCATCAGTAATGGAAATGTACATGAGAGCTGTATTAACTTTTCCCTCTCTTTGGCCTCTATAGCTTACTATCTGTTACCTGGATATGCTGATGACCAGTGAGGAGCGCCGGAAGCAGCTGAGGGACCAGTACTGCTTTGAGTGTGACTGTTTCCGGTGCCAAACTCAAGACAAGGTACAATGAATAGAACCATTTCCGGTAACAGTTCAATGATCTCTCTGAGAATCTGCTTTTGTTTCACTGGTTCAAAAGTAAAGGATCCTCAGTCTATGACAGGAACTAAGGGTGAGTAAAATAGATCTTTGAGCTGCATACATTTTATTTCTTGGAGCTGCTATAAACCACAAAACTGAGATTTAAGCAGAATAAAGATTTGTTGAGCTTAGAGCGTAGAAGGTGTAAGATATTAAATATATGACATTAAATGTAATTAAAAGGACATGCAAGATCAGAATGGTATTAGAGCAAATAGTAAGAAGATTGAATTACATTATTATTGTTAATTATTTTTTAATAATAAATATACTATTTGTTGTGGGTATTTGTTTTTGTTTTCAGAGTTTGTTCTAAAAGGCTTTCTACGAATAGCATTTTATCAGACACAGATCACTTATCTAGCAACTTCTATTCTCTAAGGAAAGAAGGGCCAAAATAAAAGTCATAAGAACAGTAAATGAACTCTTCTAACATTATTCATATAGCTTCCTTATTTTGAAACTTACTTTTAGTTTGTACATAATCAGGTTATCTGATAAAGTCTTACTTTTACAAAATGTTTGCATTTAGAGATTTCTCTTAGGAATTTCTCTCATTTAATGTCAATACTTATAAAAGATTAGAATCAACTGAAAAATGATCAGCATATGCTCCTGGGGTAGAGTAAGGGAAAAGCGGCACACCGGAGTCTCCCATGCACTCCTGATAGCCAGAGTGCTTCGCTCACCATACCACGTCTCCCTGACTCCTGCTGTCAGCACCAGTGGAGACAAGTAATTGCCCTCACTGCATGAGAAAGGACCATGATCTCATTCTAATGCTGCAGAAGTAAGCAAGCATAATTAGTTTGGCATTAAACTTTCAGAAACAAGTGAGAAAAAGTGGATTCATTGCTGCTATCTTGAATCTCCAGTGTTCAATCCATTTTAGTCTTAGCATTTTGCCCCCACAAGCATGCCAACAACTGTCGGGGGCTCCCTGTGATCTCACTTGTTCCACCCCCAGACTTTAATCTGGAATGGCCCCAAGCTAGCTTCCTAGCAGCATCCCTAGTTGGAAATGAGAATGCTCTCAAATTTAGTTCCTCTTAGTGCCATGAGTCTGGCAAAGCTTCAAAAAATTTTTGAATGAGTAAGCATGTTTCATTAAAAATCAAGGGTTCGGGGCTGGGGATTTAGCTCAGTGGCATAAGTGTCTGCCTTGCAAGCAGGCAGTCATGAGTTCGATCCCTGGTACCGATAAAAAGAAAAAGACAAAAAAAAAAAAAAATCAAGGGTTCACTTTTGTTATAATGCTTGAAATCTGGACTATAAATAAGCAATAACTCACCCAAAACTGGCATTAGTAATTGCGGTACGTTTGTTTTAAAAATTCTGGAGAAGTAATCCAGGATGAGAGCAGCTGTGCATAGCTTTCACCGTGAACCCCGACTCATTTTATCTTCCTCTTTATCCATCTCTAGCACATGGCTTTGTTCTCATGGTCCTGAGGTGACTATCCCTCCTTCCCCATGAGGGCTTACAAAATCTAGACAAGCAAAAGATGACAATAAAAAGCAAAGAGCAAGAGAATTCCTTCTAGGAGGAAGGATCATGTTTTCCTGTTGCAACCATGTCACTCTTTGTAAAAGAGGCCGGGAAGCTGTTTTAGCTTTCCAGATGCGGTACAAGGAAGAAGAGGTGTGTGAGTAGCTTTATCTAGCCAATCCACAGTGTCTACATTCATGGACACCATTCTCCTTACTTTCTGTTTCTCTGTTAGGCTGAAAGTTTGTTTAATATTGTTAGTTGGGGTTCTACACACTCATAGGTGTTGTTTTTCAGTGGGGATACTTTATGAGAAATGACTCATTAGGCAGTTTTCTCATTATGTAAACCCAGAGTAACCCAACATACGGTTTTACAGTGAGCTTATTTTTTTAAGTACAAGGAGTACATTCTAAAATAACATAAAGCATAGTATACTACATACATTAACCAGTAACCTAGTCATTTATTATCATTATCAAGTGTTAGCACTACACATAATTATATGTGCTACACTGTTGTACAACTAGCAGCACAGCAGGCTTGTTTCCACCAGCATCACCATGAACACATGAGTAATATGCTGTAATAGCACAGTGATTATGACATCGCTAGGCAATAGGACTTTTTATTCCCATCCTATTCTTACGGGGCCACTCTGTTATATGCGGTCTGTCATTGACCAAAGTGCCATTGTGCAGCTCATGAGTCTGGGGAGCAGGAGACAAAGAAAGAGAAAGAGATTGATGATAAGGAATTAACTTATGTAATCATGAAACTCATGAAGTCCTAAAATCTGCAGTGCCACACTGGAGACCCAGGAGAGCCAGTGGTGTAAGTTCCAAAAGATGGCAGACCGAGACTCAAGAAAAGCTGCTATTTTAGTTTGAGAACAAAGGCAAAATATGATGTTCTTTGTCCCAAAAGAAGTTAGGAGTTCCCTCTTTACATGGCAGGCAGCCTTCTTTGTCTCTTCAGGCCTTTAGCTGACTGGGTGATAAACACGTCAGGGAGATTTGTATGGATCCCTCATGAGCTTGCCAGTGGAGGCAAGGCCAGTACAGACCTGGTTACTGAGATAGTGGACCTCTTCAAGCCCACAGATTTCTGTCTGCCCAAGAGGACAGAGCATCAGTGGTTTTTGAGCCTCTTTTTATAAGTAAATTAGTCTTTCTTCAAACATTGGACTTCACTCTTCATATTTCTTACATGAAACATTTTGTATTCTCTGTTAACCTTTGGCACTGAACTTGGTACTTTCTACTGTCTCCTTCCAGAACTGAGGTTCTACAGCTTTGTCTTTGTTATTCCTTTGCATTTCTCTTCTCTTTTGGTCCAAGGTGATACCTACATTGTTTTGGAATTGGAAAAGCTAATTTAGCAGCGGCTGCTGCTGCTTCTTCTTCTTCTTCTTTTTTTACATTTTACCTATCATTACTATAGAGTTGGTGTAGGTAGAAGAACTTCCAGGTCCAAACTTCCATGTTGATTGCAAATCTGCAACTCACCTTTCAAGTACATACTAAGAATCCAAGTCTTTAGAGACAAAGGAAAATGTAAGAATAAATGATGATCTAACTTTTCTGAAGGCTCCCACGCATGGGTGCACCTTTCACCCAGCGCCAGCCAGTCTGCGGTGCAGGGGAACTGTATCTTTTTTGATCCTTGGGCCTTCTATGGAGAGGGTTGAGGAGAGTCATTCTAAAAATACAAACATTCTAGAAATAACATAAATTGTGTGGGGGAGGTATGTGAAAAATCTCATTCTCTGAGGCTACCCAATTCTAGCCCCACTTTTATTTTCTTGTGTGCAAACAAAACAGTGTTAATTATCATATTTTGTAATTATTTCAGCTTCCTTTTAGAAATCTTGCTTTGTAATATGGGACTGCTTTTCATTGGTCCCTTCTGAAACTCGGGACACCACCTCTGAAGTTCAGAGACAGCACTCTGCAAAGAAATGGCCTGTGCTGGTGTAATGCAGCATGGCAATTCCTCTGTGAGAGGCTTTGTTTCCCTGGGAACTAGGGAAGACAGCAGCGAGAGCCACAGGAGGAAACGGTGCTTGTCTGAAGGAGAAATAAAGCAATGTTAGAGTTAAAACTATGGACAAAGGAAATGAGAGTTTTCTGCCCCCAGAAAGTTCTTATGGTAACTAGAATCTACTTGAAATTTGAGCAACTACTTAAAGATCATTATTAAACCAAGATTTTTTTTCCTAGTGCTTTCCATATTTTGATAAATTAATTGTAAGCAGGACTGCTTTGTAGTGGGATGATGAATCTAGCCAGCTCTGAAATGCTTTATGTATCAAATTTTAACAATCTAAGCAAAGTATGTTTCCTGTTTCTAAAGTTTTCATCATAACCAAAGAATGTTATCTTCAAGAAGAGTAGGAAGATTTATCAGACACAAAGAATTTGTGTGTGTGTGTGTGGTGTGTGTGTGTGTGTGTGTGTGTGTGTGTGTGTGGTGTGTGTGTGAGTGTGTATGAGTGTGTGTTAAGCAGTCAAAACCTAACATTACTATGTTACCTATGTCTTTCTTGTCTGAATAACCAGAAGAATGAATTTCCTTGGAGTGAATGCAGAGCTGGCTGGCATTCATGTTAAAGAAAAAAAAAGGAGTTAAGGAGTTTATTGGCTTCATAACCACATAATCCTGTCTGCAGTGTCGCTGTGAAATCCTGGGAGAGGTTCTGGGCACCGTACAATGAGCTATAAAGTTGGCTGGGAGATAAACAGTGTAGCTGTTGTGCTTACCTTGGAACCAGCTGTTCACCACATCACAGCATGAGGCGCTGCGGTTTTTACCTTCTTTCAAGGACATGCAGCTGCCACGCTCCTTCATGTGGTCCTGTCTGGCCCAAGAGCCAACCTTAGGGGTAAGAAGAAGGTCTCATCACAATGTGCGGTGACATGAATACCATTTTACAACCTTTCCAGTTCTTACTCAGACATCCCTTTCTTCTGGTTTTTGTTCTGCAGAAAGCTGTGACTCAGGGTACAGATCCATTGGCTGCAGCTGCTATGGCACAGAGAGCGTGTGTGTTCTTAGGAACCAAGCAAGCGCTCGCTGTTCCTAGCCCAGCCCACTGTCCACCGTAGTGCTCAGGAAGTGCTGAAGAATAAGTGACTCTTGTTAGAGAATATTATAGGTTAGAGCACCTGCTAAAGTGTTGGTGCCAATTATTGTTTGCTAGGTAATCTGCTGAGTTCCTTACAGGCCTCATCTCACATAACCTCTACAACCCTGTCAAGGTTATGGTTACTCCTGTGCCCATTGTGCACATGAGATAACTGAAACTTAGTACAGGGTTCACCACTCCACTGTGCAGGATAACAGAATTACCTTCCCTACCTCCTGTCTAGCAAAATGGAGTGCACTTCATATTCAGTAAAACACACTATCTATTGTAGAGTTGTACCACTT